ACGGTGGGTTATTTTATTAACAACAAAAAAAAAACGGCCCCAGAAATCTCCCTGTATTTTTTTTCCCTTTTTCCCCCCCCCCCCCCCCCCGTCTCTCGCATTGTATATAAACATATACACTTCTCTTATTGTACTTGTTATTATCGTATAAGTTGTTTCTCTGGCATTTGACAATTTTTCAAAAAGAAATACACTCTTTAAAAATGCCAAGGAAATATAAAAAGAAACATTCATATAAAAAGTATAGTAAAAATTACTTTCAACTGGCTATTGAATCAGTAAGCGCTGGATATTCTATACGTGAATCAGCAATAAGATATGGTGTTCCTTATTCTACTTTAAATTTGCACATTAATAATGAAGTTTCACATGATCGAGTTGGTCGACCAACAAAATTTAGTCAAGAAGAAGAAGATCATTTGGAAAAAGCCGCTCTTATTTTACAGGTAAAACAATTATCTTTTATTTTAATTTATTATTATCTGAATATTTCTCATTGAAAGAGTTGGGGTGTACCATTAACTATCGACGAATTTTTAAAGCTTTCCAAACAATATGCATTATCACTTAATAAAATCCATTTGTTTTCTTCAGGAACGCCAACATATGATTGGCTTTACTCTTTTTTGAATCGTCATAATAATCTTATTTTAAAGAAATCCTATCCATTAGAGAAAAAACGTGCAGCATTGACATGTGAACAAGTCGATAATTGGTTTCAGCTGCTAAATAAAATTATTCAAGAAAATGATTTAGCTGATCGCCCTGCTCAAATTTTTAATTCAGATGAGTCGGGTAAACATAAAAAATTGAATCAAACAATGAACTGTAGCATAATTCGGTTTTATTTTAGGAATGTCCGACAACATAAGCTATTCCAAAGTTATTGTTCATAGATATACGTCGAATGCTTATCGCATTCAAGGCGGTACTGGAGGTAGATCTTATATAAGTGTAATGTTTTGTGGTTCTGCTACCGGTCTTCTATTACCACCATTCGTTATATACAAATCGAAACGATTGCTCGATGAATGGTGCATTGGCGGGCCAACTGATATAGGCTATGATTGTTCAGAGAAGTAAGCTTTTCTCAAAATAGTGAAACATACTCCAGACTCATAGAATGTCTATATGCTTAGCAAGATTTCTAGGTTCTGTAATATTTTGTTAAAATACTAGGGATACTCAATGTAATTACTAATCTAATACATTACTCTTTATATTTTTTTCCTTCATTCATAGCAATACAAAAGAAAAATTATTGTAGATCATCTTTTTTTTCTGGTAGAAGACTTCGTTTATTCTGTTTTCTTCTTTCATTAAAGCACAAAATGAACTCAGTGAATATTTCACTTTACTATACATGTTGTCTTTTGTAATGCATAGATAACAAAATCAAGAACTTATAGGTAAAGACCCTCTTTATAAATCCAAATAGCTTAAGTTATTTTTTCAGTATACATGTAAATTATTCTTTGTCAAAGTACTAACGAGATTTGATTCCGTGTAAATATCTTGCATGTGCTAGTTTTGCCGAAATACAATGAACTTTTCTTATCAGCTAATAGAGATTCAATCAAAGACGGTAAATTATTTTTCATTTGTTTTCTTCAATGTTTATTCTTCTACTATTCATCATTACAAAGATCCTCATCAAGTCGACTATGACCATCAGATCATTGATTGAAAAGACTCAACATATGGTCGTTAAACATTCACCATAAGTCTCCATTTTACTCTTTTAAGTGCAAAGATATGTCACGTCTATGAGTCATGGAGTCTGCTAGTTTTTGTTGTTTGTGTATTGATATGTTGAAAATAATTTTTTAAATAGCGGATGGATGGATCAAACATTGTTCTACCGATGGTTTGATCAAATATTTCTGACACACACAAAAGATTTACCACGTCCGTTACTCCTGATTGTAGATGGACATGGCAGTCATTTCAACGTCGATACACTCAAACTTGCTGTCAAAAATAATGTGTATGTCGTGAAATAATGAAGTTCATACTTAGAACTGATCCGTTTTCTTCACTTCATCAGAATTTTCTTTCAAATTTTTTAGAATTATTCTTTGTTTACCATCTAACTCCACCCATGTCCTTCAACCTTTGGATATTGTTTTTTTTAACCCATTAAAGATCCAATGGAAAAAGTAAGAGGAAACTTTAAAAAAAAATAACTTACTGTTTTATTATAGGTTCTTAAAAGATGAATATACTCGTACAAATTTTAGAAGTATTACTAAAGCTCAATTTCCATCATTACTAAAGCAGGTATGGACAAGTGATCCTGTTGGAACAAAAACAAATGTTGTGAAAAGTTTTATGAAAGCTGGAATATTCCCTTTCAATCCAAATAGTATTGATCGCTCACGTATTTTGAAGAATAATACGAATGTTGACAAAAATATAACAAATACTTCTATTAATTTACCTAATGATAATCAAACATCAACATTTGATAGTCCATCGTCTCCGCAACCAATTACTTCTCCATTTGCTTCTTCTCATCAAGCGATTGCTGCTCTTGATCAAATTTTAGAAGAAACAAAATTAAACACCAGTTATATTGAAGATTTAAACGATCATGTAGATAATGATGATGATGATGATGATGATGAATATCTACCATCGAATTCAAATCTTGCTTCATCAATATCTACTTCATCCAACCAACAAAACAAAATAATAGCATCAACAAGTCATCAATCTGTTCTGTCAACACAAAAGAAAAAAAGAAAGAGAAAATTTTCAACTATTATCGGTTTCGATACGTCAGAAGAAGATGGTAATATTCTTTGCTGTGTATCAAAATCGTAAACAAAAATTTTCTAGATGACGAAAATTTGAGTTCACCAACATCAAAATCTCAACAACTGCAAAAGAAATATGAACTTCAACCAAGGAAAACTTTATCATCAAAGCATGATCAAACTATTTCACCAGAAGAACAAAAAAAAAGAATGAAGTTGGCCTTGAAAACTGTTGGTTTCGATACATCAGATGAAGAAGGTAATGTATATACGAATACATTGTGACCATTCTAACTGAAATACTTTAAAAATAGACACGGTGTCGAATTCATTAACACCAAACTCTCAAAACTCAATTCAGGCGATTACAAATGCAATACAAACAGTTTTTGGTACACAATCAAATAAAACATCAAAGCAACCTTCAAAACGAACAGTAATTAATAGATCTAATGGACAAATTATAACGGAAAAAATTGTGATTGAACAACTTGAAGAACGAAAAAACAAGCGAAACACTAAACGATCAAGTTCAAATAATCGAACAACGAGCGCACCAAAACGACAAAAAAAAGCAAACAATAGTATGATAGGTATAAAAGTCTTAATAGAATGAATATCTTCAAAGCGATAATTGTTTTGAAAAAAAAGTTAAACTACTTATAACATATATATACAAAATATTGATAATTATCCAGAGACTAAGATTAATTGATACCTTTTAGATCAATCGATCATATTTGGTACCAACAGTACAATAGCAATTCATCCAACAAGTCCACTAATTGGTACAACTCAATCTTCCATCTCCTTCGATTAATCATAATCTGCAAATAAGTACAGTATGTTTCGTAGATTTATACTCCAATACAACTAAATATAAATACATTTTGTTTTGTAAAATCGTAGCTCTTCAAGTTATCAAATACTCATTAATTGCATCTAAATTCATTGACACTCGAAATTCAATTAACCATTATGATGTTATCCAATTTAATGGCACGATATCACACATTTACGATAAATTCACAAATCAACAGTGATCGATTAGTAGTTTTACACATATTGATTTTTTTTGAACATACTTTTTTTATGATTCTACAATAGCTCCACAATCCTCTAAAAACATCTTACAATATTTCTTGATTATCAATATTTGATTTTATCTAATCCCATCTTATTGAAAATTTTATATTAATTTACTTAATTACATCATTTTTTCTTCATATTCGTTTACTATTACTTAGGTGTTTTTGGCTTTCAGAAAAAAATCTGTATTTCATATTTTTTTTATATTATGATTTCTCTCATTTTTGCGATCAACTCGGTTTTTAAAAATGTGTTTATTGTTATGTAGGAAATTATATACCATTAAGATATATCTTGTATATTGTGGTTCTTAGTGATTTACTTTTTATTTAGGATTACATATTCTCGGATAAAATAAAAATTTTACACACAACCAAGTCATAATTGAATTATGAATAGTCGTATAATTCGACGATGGATAGGTTTGATATTATTTTTCATTTTATCTTTTTATAGTATAAACGTTTCTTCTACATCTGAAAGACCAGATTAGTTTATCTTTATGATCTTCTCTAAATCTAAAACGAACTAGGAAATGTCGACTGGATAATGTTAGAAAACCTCGCATAATCTTGATTTCCATCGATCACACAACATGCTAATTCATTTGACTGAATATTCTGTTTTGAATGCACAGAAATGAAACAGTCAGATAGAGACGACTTTTCTCTGAGAATTCCTTTTCGCAAACTCACTACAAAAATTAAAAAAATTCATAAATACTCTCTATCTACAATTAGTAAAGTAATTTGAATTACTCGAGGCAAAATAACTCAAATAATTCAACTTATCTCAGATGAATAACTGAACTGATCCGAATTACCCCAAATGCATTTTTATATGGTTGAGGGTGATCCCAATGTTATATTTAGTTCTATCATGAAAGTTCGTTCATTCACTGGAATATTTTCAGGTCCCATTGATAAGACTTCAGGCTATCGAATGATGTAATTTTTCATTATGTGATAATGAATAAAACAGAAGTTGTGAGTTGGGAAAATATATCACAGCTATTTTTGCTGGAGTGATCAGAATTACCCGGAATAGTTTGATTGACTGATCCGAATTACCCGAAATGGGGTAATTTGGATCATCTCACTATAGCTTTCACGACTTTGCCTAATACTTTTTTACTATGCATCTTTTTTAGAAAATTCTTTCGTCATTCGATAAAGAACATTTTGTTCTACTTACGATCCAAAAATCAAATTCCTGTGATATAAAATGAATAAGAACGAAGAAAAATAAAATAAAATTTTCAATTTTTGATCAGAATTACCCCAATGGACTCTATTTTGTGAGTTGGACGTTAGCATTAGTCTTAATAATATAGAACAATTCTTTAAAAAATACTTGTAGTTTCTCTTAGAAATTATATCATTTCTATACAATCACTATACACTTCACGTCAAGCGATTGTTAGATAAACGAGAGTGAAAACTGGACCGTTATTTTATTGACTCAAACCACTAAGAATAAGTTACATACACTTTTGTATGTGGCTTATCCCAACCAATCGACGTGTTACTACTGATTTTTGATTAGTCGACAGAGTATCTTTTAAAAAAGGAATTAAGATTATACGATTGATTTCTGCTTAGATATTTGCAAAATACTAAAAAGTGCAATCATTATGCTTCACCAGGTATCTTTCAAAAAGGATTGAAAATTAAATGCAAACAACCCATATTATTGGTCACATTTTATTTCATCTCATAGCGAGTGGGCCACGTATGCTTGTATTTCTTCTTGTGCGCATTTTTTTTATCGTTCTGTTGTTTTCTTTTGAGTGCAGAAGGGAAAGCAAACAAGTCCTCAAATCGAACTTCTTTTGAATAGATAAAAAAAATAATTTTATTTACACTTTTGATAAGTAGAAAGAAGCTGCATCGGAAAAGAAGGTAAAAAACAATGAAGGCATCTGGTTACCATCAAGTTTCTTGCTACATATTATTGGTCATTCTAACACTAGGCCAATCTCTGATCAGTCCTATTCCAAGTACTTATCAATTGTACGATAACGGTTTACTAATGAGTGTCTGGTATAATCGTATATCGGCCACAGCTGCAGCGATTGATGGAGCCAATGGCGTCAATCAACAATGGGAACAGGGAACATCATCAGCTTGGTATATTGAATTGCAACGATTCGGTTGCGATGATATGACAGCAGCCGTCTATGCCAACCGCTTAAACTTATTAGCAAATGGTGAAAATATTTTTACTTGGGGCTTTTCAAAGCAAACTATTGATGGTGGATTCAATAATTGTTCTAACTGTACTCCACCTATGCAGGGAACTGGAGATGCATTTCATAGTACATCGATGTTTGTCGAAGCAGTAGCCAGATGTTTAATACTCATGCGACAATCGTCAAATTTTGTCACATATGAGTCGTATTTCAATCAAATTGTTCCCAAATTAATTCGAGCAGCTAGTTGGCTCTTGAAACCATCTGTTCTGTCCATAGGTATTCGAAATGACATGCCTTATACACATCGACGATATATTTTGGCTGCTGCTCTCGCCGAAACCGCCTTGTTAACAGACGATCCATCGCTTCAACAACAATTTTATTCACAAGCAGCTATGTTCGCGCAAGATGGTTTGTCACTTCAAGATTCAAGTGGTTTTAATCCAGAAAAGGGCGGCTATGATTCAAGTTATAATGCATACGGTCTATATCAAGCGTGCAACTATTTAGTGGTGTGCCCGGACGACAGTCTTCGGCAACAATTGACAAACATGCTCTCAAAATCTTTTGCGTGGCAGCTGACACGAATGAATCCTGATGGAAGTGCAATCTTAGTCGATAATACTCGAGTTACTGCTGACAATAATACAAATGAAGTAGCTAGAAGTGGTTACGATAAGAAATATGATTATAAATCAACAATTTACGCATTTGAACTGGGATCTGTTTTACTTCAAAGTCAAATGCTGCATAATGAAGCACAATTAGTAGCCACTTATGTGGGTTATCTACATTAATAATAGATAAAAAAAAACTGATATTTTTTTTTTATCAATAAAACTGAACCTGTTTAGAACGCAAGCTGTGATAATGCATTTTACTACACTAATTCTTATGTAAAACTCACTTTCATAATCAAGTCATCGATTAATAGTTTATTTATTTTCCGTATCTGTCGCAATGTTCGATAGGAGAGGATGTGTTCGTTGACAATTCTTTGTGATCTTATACCTTCACATGAAATCATATAAGTGACAAAAAAGAATTTTTGTTCACACTATATACGAAATGACTCTAAACACAGATTGGAAGACACAAAATCTCTCTACCTAATTTATAAGACTATGCTTCTTGTATGTACGTGCATTCGTGTATTTTGTGCTTGTTGATTAAGAGGCATTCCATTCGACTCAGCACAAATTTTGTAAAGATATGTTTCATTGAATGTCTTGATCACTCACGAGTGATAACTGGTGGCGATGATAATTTCCAACGTTCTTCTAATGGTTCGATCTTAAAATATTAACCTCCATCAGATCGATATACTCTGATCTCTTTCACATGCCTAGGATACGATGACTATGTGCTAGTGTCGAATCGATCATATTAAGTCGAGTTCAGTTACTTAGTTGATTATACGAACCGTAGAGATAGTTTCACAGATGGGTCAGATCATTGTAGAAATAAGGTTAGTATTGAACGACGCTAAAATCTCAATAGATTCTAATGTACTATTACTTTTTCTAATCCTCTATTAAGGGATAATACTAATTGTCGTGTAAAAGAAAATGAGTCCCTCATTACTCATGCATGTAGAACAGCTTAGGTTCAGATTCGAGTTTTTTCAGGGCCGATTCGCCCAGGCAAATGTTCCAACAAAAATAGTCCATGTTCCAACTGCTATTTTGTGCGTTCTATCCAATGACGAAAACTACATCTCGATTGAATGCGGTATTCTCAAGATAGACTCGGGCAGCAAATACCTCAACGAGTGAGATTTCCGGCAGATGATTTGGTGATATGCTAGAAACGGAGCATTCTATGGAGATGCGGCTTTCATCATTCGATAAAGCTCACACAATGGTACTTGTAACCCTCGTTGGTTTCCTTGAAACATTCTTCTGAGCGAATCGGCTAAGAAAATACCGGTCCGAACGGCGAATTTGGCCGATGCATGGGCATTTTCCAGAGAAAGGTACCATGTATCGAGTTGTGGTTTTTACCATTGGATACATCTTATTGAGTTATACTTGGAACTTAGGATAGCGGTTTTGGAGCATTTTGCTGGACGAATCTGTCCTGAAAAAACTCAAATCTGGACCTAAGATATCCTATGTCACTCATGAGCGTTTTCTTTAAACTTTGCTGAACACTTCTCAGTCAATTAGCTTCGTCAGAGAGGTGCAATATAACATTTTCGACACACATGCCACTTTTCGTCGCATATAGTCTTAAAAAATGGTTCACTTTAATCCCTGCGGGGTTCAAATGGGAAACGCAATGGATCCGTCCAATTAGTAATAAGGTGGTCTACTAGCATCGATCATATTATGCTTCAAAGTCGGATAGACCAACATGTTTCGCCTGTCTGTCACGGTGTATGGGGACCGCCGAGGAGGAAGGTGGGGTGGGGGAGGTAATCACTCTTATCACTATATACTTCAACACTCATTTCCAATCGTGTTTTGTAAAGGTGCTAGCAGTCTTACGACGAAACATTTCCGACCAGTATGTACAATTCGAACTCACATTTTGTTGGTGACTAGAGTTGATTATATGTATAAAATAGGTAAAAGGATCCGTGCCATTGCCGCTTGATTTCAAAGTTATGAGCAAAAGAAATGTCATGATAGGTGACGCCACCATCCTTGTGTCGGTTTTTGTTGTCGTCGTATCTTAATTAGGACATATGTTTTTCAGTTGAACAAAATGAGATAAGTTGGTAAAAAAAGGTTCAACCGAAAACGTATGTCGCTGTTAAGATATTAAAGAAACGACAAGATAGCGCATAGATAATAGTATCGTCTATCATAGTCTTTGTTTCATTCATAAGTCTAAAAGCAAGCAGCAACCGCACGAATTCTTTTAGTTATTTGGTACGTATCATCAACCCTAGTCACCAACAAAAAGCAAGCTAGAACGATGCGTATGAGTTCGGAATGTTCTCTGGATCGGTTTTTCATTTAACTTTCTGCAAAGATGGACAGGGTATGAATGTCAACTGTAGATATGAGTATTCATTTTATCTAAACCCCCACACATATAGCCACCATCTTGTCATCGAAAGTATGTTTTCGATGGATTTTGAGTGGTCAATATGTGTTTGAGGACTGGAAGTCTCGACAGAACGGGAAAATATGTATATATTCAAGCTTCAACGACACATTTTACCCATCGTTGACTTTTATGATCTGCTTGACTGTGTCCTCATTTATATGAGTGGCTTGTGTAGGGAACTCAATGAAGTTCGATTCCACGTACAATGAATGAATGGTTTTTGCTGTTGCTCATTTTGGAAAAAGTCTTGGTTTTTAAACTCATTCATTAGGTGTGAAAATTTCCTAACAATAATCGACATTAGAAATATGGCAATTTGGAACTTAAACGATCACTTGAAAGGTTTTTTTCTCATATATTTAAGTTGCAGGAAATATACAAAAGGCACTCATGAAAAACAGCCGTATAAAAATTGAAAATTTGACCAAATTCGATTGTATATTTTCGGTTTATGCTGATTTGACAATCATAGGAACTGTCTCGGTATTAAACGATTCGATGAGATTATAACATGTTGTATGGCTAGATTCACTCTGGTGCAAATCCTTCTCATAACGAATCAATTGCAGCAAAAAGCCGTCATTTGGTTAAGCTAAGCGTCGTCTTTCGGTCAGGTAATCATAAGCTGCATCTAATGTATAATTATGATATCTAAAAAATGAGAATAAAAGATTGAATTTTCAAAAAGCAGAGAAAGTTTTTTTTTTTTACTTCAACAGATAAGAAAGAACGAATGAAGATGAACGAGAAATACCTGCTTGACAGTGAACTAGAACTTTCTCATTCTTGGATTTACATACATGCAAAAATTCATTGGCACGATCGAAATGTTGACGAATGTCGGCTTCAGATATGTCTTCTACATTGATCCATAGCACGTTGAAATGATCCAATATATCTTGTCTCAATGAGAAATCGCATACACTGAGAATGTGTCGAATGCCGAGTTTGTTGAGTAACTCCTTGTTTTGTGCATTCTTTACATTACCATGATAGAGAAAATCGTCAATAATCGTAGATGGAACATCAAAAACTTGACAGTCTATTGCGCGAAGCCGCCTCATTGACTTCAATTCATGCAAACGTTTTAAATAATTAATTTCTTCACTTGTGGCTTGCATAGTTCGCTTCAAATCGTCC